ATGGCAGTCTCAGTGGTCCTGGTGTCTGTGTTCACAGCATCCAGCACAGCTTGGAGGTCCAGGTGTGTCCATACTATCGAGGGACTTGTGAACACCAAGGATCATGCATTGTGTAGTAGCTCACTGGAGGGGTCCATGGCAGAGAGAAACAGGCCTGTGTGCCCTTCACTGGAGAAATGTGACAGAGCTTGTGATGTCGTGAGTCTAGGTGATATGTTGGTGCTGAAAAGTGGCATTTGAGGAGCACATGTTACATTAGGTCTAATATGCTGCATGTAAGGCAACAGTGCCATAAGTATCAATATCAGAGGGGTAGCCATATTAGTCTGAATCTGCAAAAACAACGAGGAGTCCTGTGGCATCTTATAGACTAACAGATATATTGGAACATTAGCTTTCATGGGCAAAGACCCACTTCGTCAGATGCACAACTGACATGCATTTGACGAACTGGGTCTTTGCCCACAAAAGCTAATGCTCCAGTATATCAGTTCGTCTATAAGGTGCCACGGGACTTCTCATACGTTATCAGTGGCTGTGTCTCCAATTTTGGTATGTATGGTGCTGACAGAGTGGTCGGTGCAGAAGGGAAAGGGCGCTGGTAAGTTGGTGGTATTGAGGATATGATTGGTGCTGATGGCCTGGGTGCCATCAGTTCCATGGATTTCATGGGAGCTGTTAGTGCTGTCAGTGCCGTCAGGTGCATCATGGGGCATGCTAGTGCCGTCAGCTTCAGGGCTGTAGTTTTTGTTGGCACCAATGATGTCATTGGTGCCGTGACCTTTAGCGGCAGTGGTTTGGCATGTTATTTGGACCCTTTGGGATTGGTACCTGAGCTGGCAGGTGGTGCCATGGTGCTGGAAGTACCAAAGGCATCATAGGAACTGATTTGTGATTACCTCTGTGCCATTGGTTTTGTGGGGGACGTTGGTCTTTTTGGTGCCTTTTTGCTCTGAGGAGAAACTTAAGTTTCTATCAAATTTACCCAATTCACATTTAATATGAAAATATCCTTCAATTTGCACATTTGATGCCTTTTTTCTATTTTTTCTCCGAAGGGGGACCAGGAGAAATTGTGCTGCCCTGGGCCCCGCAAAACTGTCATCTGCCCCTGAATACCAATGATGGGGGGCAGGTAGATGAATGAAGGGGACTCCTGCATATGCATTATGAGGTTCTGTCTGCCATTCAAGTGATTTTTTGACCCTTGTGAGTATTTGTAGGGATTTGTTTAAACTGTGTCTTCTCAGGATGTACACCATTCTGAGTCACCCTTGAAAATAACACAAGGGGAGGGAGAGAGTTAGCGAGTGAGAGACATCAAACATCTTAAACATCCAAGTTATTTATTTCCAGGTAGTGACCATAAAAGGGGGGGAAACCCAATTATGCTATTAAATTTAAATTAATTTTTATTATAAAAGTTAGGTTTAGCAAAGTATAACTGATAACACAAGTCAGGAACACAAGATTATACCTAAAGAAGGGGGAGGGGGTGTCTTCCTACTTCATAAAGCTTGAATTGATCAGGGTTCCCAGGTAGTGATATTGGCTGTGGGCTTGGAGTCAGGCAGAGCCCCCAGCATGATCAGTTGGAAGATGACTTCCCAATGGAACTGATGCAGATGTTATATCCAGGCATCAGAATCCTTACTGAGCATGGGTCGGGGTTTTTGTAGAGAAAGAAGAGAAGGTTACTCACCCTGTGCAGTAATTTAAGTTCTTCAAGATGGGTGGCCTTGTGGGTGCTCCACCTTAGGTCTTTGGGGTGCCTCGTTGGAGATTTACAGTAGCAGTGCCCTCCGGTAGGCTGCGCACACGAGGCAGGCAGCACACACGGTGCTGCTACCATGCATGTGCAACCAAATGTCCCCTCAGTTCCTTCTCTGCCCCAGAAAGAGAAATCAACATGACCGAAGCAGAGATGAGGAAGGGCGGGTGGTGGGGCGGGTGTCACCTACAGGGACAGCCATCTCAAAGAACCTCCATTAGCACACAGGGTGAGTAACCTTATCTCCTTCGAGGAGTATCCCGTGGGTGCTCCACCTTAGGTGACTATAGAGCAGTACCCATAATAGGAGGTGGGTGCTTCAGCTAAATGCGGTGTTGGACCTTGGTCAGGACCATATGTCCACATTTAGTGCCCTGTTTCAGGTAAGTGTCGAGGGCATAATGTCTGGCAAAGGTGCGTGCAGAAGATCAAGCTATAGCTCTACAAATGTCTGTGAGAGGAATGCTACTAAGGTTAAGCTGTCAAGGTTGCCATGGCGCTCATGGAGTGTGCCCGCAATTGAAGTGGAGGCTCCTAGTTAAAACTGGAGTAAGCCGGAAGGATGCAGTCAACTATCCATGTGGATAGTCTTTGGGTAGAGATTTGCTCAGGGATCTTTGTGCAGTGGAGATGAAAAGTCTGTTTGTTTTACAAATTGTCCCTGTCCTTTCCAAATAGAAGGCAATTGTTCGGCACACATCAAGCGTGTGCCATTTACCTTCTTCAGTGGTGGCATTAAGCTTTGGGAAGAAGACAGGTAACACCTCATGTTCATTGCAATGAAAGGAGGTACGTATCTTTAGTAAGAAATTTGGGTATGGTCTCAGAACCAGGCTGTTCTTATGAAATATTGTGAATGGTGGGTCAAGCCATTAGTGCCCCAATTTCACTTACCCTTCTGGCTGATGTAAGAGTGATCAGCAGGGCCACCTGCATTGAGAAGTGAAGCATTGAGCCATAGATTCAGATACTTCATGGATGGGAACGCGAAGTCCACTGGGACCAGGATTTTAACTGACGGGAACATATTTTGAATGCCCTCCAGAAAGCACTTAGGTGTTGGATGGCCAAATACTGATTTGTTTTTGATGGGTTAGTGCAGTGGTCTCCAACCTTTTTACACCCAAGATCACTTTTTAAGTCTCAGAACAGGCAAAGATCTACTGCCCCGCCCCTTCCTTGAAGCCCCACCTACATTACATGAGGAAATCTAATGTAAACGTACTGTGCAGATGCGCAGTTCAGAGAAGGCTCAAGAGCTACTCTTAGAGCTCCTGAGATCTACCGGTAGCTCGCGATCTACTGGTTGGTGACCACGGGGTTAGTGAAAGGCTGTTATGGCCTCAAGGTGTACTTTCAATGAACTAAACGAAAGACCTGAGTGTTTTTAGTTTAAAAGATAATCTATCAGATAGTGGGTTTGTTGATGAATTTGTGGATCCCTGGCCTGCCCAGAGGGAGAATCTGCACCACTTGTGGAGGTAAGTAGTTGCAGTAGTTGTTGTTACTCTGCAACAACTTATTAAGATCTGTTTGACTTAATCTGTAAATATTGCTTCTATTAAGGAGAGCCACTCAGGAAATATGCCCAGAGGTGAAGGATTGGAGGTATGGATACCAGATTTGACCACCTTACTGGGGTATGGGTGCTGACCAAGGGCTCCTTGTCTTCATTACTAGATAATGGTGGTGCTGAGTCCGGTGTAGCTGAGTGTGGAATGCTGCCAGATGTAGGCCAGTGGTGCCAGACAGAGGAATTGCAGGTGCTGACGAATCCCTGAGTGCCTTCGTGGTGGTGAAAGGGACCAGTACCAGCATCTGCAGTGCCTATGGCAACAGAGATGGAACTATCACTGCTACCTGCGGTGTCAATGGTACTGAATAGGGAACCATCGATGTCACATGCTTATGCCATTTTAGTGCTGGGGGTGGCATAGGTGCTGACGGTGCCATGTGAGGCTTAGGCTTCTTTGGTGCCAATGGTGGCTCAGTAGAAGATGGCTTGGTCTTATCTTTCATCAGCACCAATGCATGTTTTGACAGTGCCAAGGGCGCCAATTTCAATTTAGCTTTTCCTGATGCCTAATTTTTAGTTTTGTTAAGTCTTTGGACCGTTGGGAACCATTGGTGTTGGACAGTCCCAGAACCTCCCTATCTGGAGCCCTATCCGGGGTCAGAGCAGGGGGTACTTTGGGTGCTTGCTCCTTTTGAGGAAGAGTCACCTTTCCCTCAGGAATGAGATCTCTTCCTAGATTGCTCGGAGGAAGAGCCTCTCAAGGTAGAGCTGGCAGACATGGCCTTTTAAGACATGACCAGGGGAGACAGCTGGCACAGGAGAGGAGTGCTATGGATATGAGGGAGGTCTCACCATATTTTTGAGCAAGAGAAGTTTCAGTTGAAGCTCCAGTGCCTTTCGTGTGTGAGCTGTTAACTGCCTGCAATGCTGGCACTGTGCAGTAGCATGTGCCTGACCCAAACAGTGCACATACTGGGAATGGCCATTTGAGAGGGGGATAAATAGCCTGCAGGAGAGGCAATGTCTGAATCCTGGGGAACCAGGCATCCCAGGTGGTAAACTTCTGTGAGGCGGAGGGGGCAGCACTCAAGCCCAACACCCTGCGCTCCCCAGGTGAATGCCCTAACCCCTAAGCCACACTGCCACCCACCCTGCCTCCAGCAGGTCCCTTATCTCACTCTCCAGATTAACAAGGAAATTTTCAAAATTTCAATTTTTGCTTTAGAAAGGTGAAGAGCAACTGGAGTTCTGACTGAAGCCAGTGGCAGTAGAGGAGGAAGTGAAGGGCCCTCATGTGTGCAGCCTACCAGAGGGCACTACTACTGTAAATCTCCAACTAGGTGCACAGCGGACCTATGGTGGAACACCCACAGGGACACTCCTTGAAGAAGAACAATAGTTCAAGGGAGAACACTAGATTTGTTTATGGGTAAACTGATGATTCAAGGGAGTATAACAAAGTTGTTTTGTTCAGGCTAGACAATAGGAACGGATCATTCATGGCTGTAACAAAAAACAGGACTGTGTAGCACTTTAAAGACTAACAAAATGGTTTAATAGGTGATGAGCTTTCGTGGGCCAGACCCACTTCCTCAGATCAAATAGTGGAAGAAAATTGTGACAACCATATATACACCAAAGGATACAATTAAAAAAAAATGAACACATATGAAAAGGACAAATCACATTTCAGAACAGGAGGGGAATGGAGGGGGGAGAAAGGGAGGGAGGTAAATGTCTGTGAGCTAATGATATTAGAGGTGATAATTGGGGAAGCTATCTTTGTAATGGATAATTTCTACCACTTTTCATGGCTATAGGCAGTGTTCCTTTGAGGGAGCTCATAGTGCAATTAGGCACTTTCAGTGCAGATTGGAAACCCCTGGTCCTGCACCCTCAGGATCTGAGTAGTTCCAAATCAGAGAGTTTGCTGGGCCTGGAGTGTGTGCCAGAATGGAACTGTTAAGATCTGGAGCAGAGGTTCCCCATCATGCAGTGCTTTTCTGCTTTCTTGGTCCCAGAGTTCAGGATGGTTCTTTAATTGGAATTGCTGGTCTTCATTCTATAAGCTAATGGAGATGCTTCCCTGACATCTCTGATGCAAAGCAAAATGGGGGCATTTCCTTAATCCTGTAATTGTTGACAGAGTGTTCTAGGTGTGCCTTCCCCTGCCTTTTTATATCTATTTGCAAGTCTTTCTTCTGATCAACTTTGGTTCAAGCAGAGGCTGCCAGGGGAGGTCTTTCATGAATCAGACAGGCCAGAAGTGCATTCAGGTCTCTGATTTCTCAAGCTTGTTCTGCTCCTCCTTCTCTGAAATGGGGAAGAAAAAGATACACACAGTGAATCATGGTATGATGCTGTGTGCCTCATAATGGGTTTGGGTAAAGACACCCCCACAGCCACATACCTAGTCCCTGAGCAGGAACTAGAACCTTTGATGGGAATGGGGAATAGAGACACGCACCAACACACAGCAGACATGGGATTTGCAAAGCATCTAAACTTCATGGAAAATGTGGGTCTGGATCTGCTCTTCTGTTTAAGGGGAATTCCTTCTCAGTGTTAGTAACAGCACTTTGCAGCATCAAAGTTACACATTTCAAGTGTAAGTAAGGGATGGACGTGCAGATCAGATAATTAGGGCTCTGATTTAGGGTCTAGCATTCACAACAAATAATGGAA